GTAATCAAAATAGAAAGTGCTAAAAATATATCTACACTCTTTACTATACTATTATAAAGAGGAAGGATTTGTTTGTTTGTTTGTTTGAATTGAATAGGCTCCGAAACTACTGGACTGATTTGAAAAATTCTTTCACCATTAGAATCCTACATTATCCCTGATGAACATAAGCTATATAATATTTTCAAAAAGTTAGGGATCCGTATGAAAACTTCGTTAATGTAACCCAAGGTGTGAAAAAATACCAAAAAGAATACTTATATCGCGTACGCTGCGGAAACTATTGATAATAGAGCAAAGTAATGTCCTTCAGTTTTATAGAAGATATCAATATCTACAAATTCAATAATCGGTAGAATAAGTGACTGGACAAGTAAAATCTTAGTATTTGTGGCAAGAAAGTTTTTTAATCGATATTGAGATCGCAAAGTTCCAGTAGTTTTGCGACTCACCTCCTGTATATGTTTGTTCCATGTTAAGCAAATATCAACGTACAGACCAAGGTTCTTTACATGGGGAGATAATGGTATGACATTATTTTTAAACATAATTGAACTTTTATAGGCTGTAATGGATGGACTGATGGACAGGATTACAATAAGTAAAGGAACCTTTGATTATAATACCCTAATCGATGGTAGTATATCTTGCACATTTTTGTTTAGGCATTTCATATCAAGCTATATATTTCCCACAGTCGTTTCACTTATGGGACGAAATAGGGTGATGGATTCTCCTACGTAATCACCACTCATCTATATCTATACAAATAAATAAAATTGAACTGTCTGTTTGTAATGTCAAAATTACAGTTTATTTACTAAATGCATATGAAAGCAAATACGGTACTTATAATAACTAAATACAATTTTTTTAAATTTTGACTTCCACTTGCAGATAGCTGATTTCATAAGGAGTAACTTAGGATACTTTTATTTTAAAAAAAGAATCAGGGTTCCGTGCAAAAACATAAAAACCCTAGCACGCGAGCGAAGTCGCGGGGAACACCTAGTTTAAAATAAAGTATGTAAAGTTATCCGAAGTACGGCCCAAATTCAGTTTAAGTTTTTGTTTTACAGAATAGGTATGACAAACAACTTACAACTTACAACTTACTTACAGTTCACCTGACGACAGTTTTAGTGTGTTTTTTTTTTAAATTTTTTAATTTAAAGTCGGTAAATTATCTGCGAGATGAAATTTGCGCGCCTGCTGCCTTCCTTGGATGTAGTAGCCGATTTTCAAGCTCCCCCTCCTGAAAGTTTTAATCTATACGTGCCATTGGCACAAAGGCACTACCGGGTGTCAGGGACAGAAAAATCACTAATGCGATTATTATATTTTCACTGGTCCTTGATAAGTGTGCGAAGTTTCAAATCAATCCGACCCTTTAAAGGGGATGAAAATCACATTCGAATATTCCGTTACATAGATACATAGATAATAAAAGCTAACGAAAGCGTGTTGAAAATGGCGGGAAAGTGTTTTTTTAATTGTTTTTTTTTTCTTTTTCTTAATGTCCTATATGTATTGATAATAAAACCAGCCAGATAAAAACAGTACAACCAAAGAGATTTTTCTTCAATTTTATACAAACAAAATACGAAGAAATTTCTTTACCCGACCTATTTTATTTATCAAAATGCAGTGTTGAGGACTAAGATGGAATGCCTCGTATGTAAAAAGAGTCTTACACCATACGAAACACGGTAGCGTACGATAGTTTTCTGTAAGAGATTGGTCCTTTCCGGTTTAGTATCCCCATTCGTGCTACAACCGTAATATAGCTGCAGCGTGACTCTACGTTTAATTACACAATACAAGTTTATTAAAAAAAATTCACAGAAATGATTTGATAGCATGCATACTATACAGGCTAAGAATGCTTGTGAAGTATAGACTATTGGTCTATCGGAGGCTGCACGTTACTTCGCGGAACCGATCCGCCGATAATGAGTACTTATTATTGCAGCTGACATACTTTTACTCGAGTCCAATCAAGGAGATCAGTTTCTAGCGCGTTATATATTTCCCATTGAATGGTAATTTTTGAATGACCGCATCCGTCGTGTGTGAGTAACGATTTTCTGTTTCTCTTGAGGGCAAAAAAAAGTAGTTACTGGAAAGTTCGATCGCGTCTACTTATCAGGAATATTTAAAGAGTAATGCTTGGACTATTATTTAGTTTTCCTTAAAAGGAAATAAGTTTTATAACCTAGATAAAAAACGGCTTTATTTAGACGATAGGACTCCTTTCCTGCTTAGTGTCTAGGTAGGTAACGGGGGAGAGGAGTGTCGGTATTGCGAGGTGCCGCTCTTCCTACCCTCCGCGGCCGAAACTTGGCTGGCGGCGGAGCCAGAGACCAGATCCGCCTCTGGGGTCGGGAAAGCGGGTGCTACTAAGCGCCCGATTTTCCTGGCCCCATCGCCTACGAGTATCGCACTCGGGGAGGACCGATACGCAGGTGGAGTTCGAGGCCGTGGAGGGGGGCGTGCCTTGTGTTCCTGGTGCGTCTTGCCTGGGAAGGAGAATGGGGAGGAGAGGTCCTCCCCTGAGAAGGGGCAGCCATGGAGCGACCGGCGCTGGTGGGACCGCGGATGTGTGTGAAAGCGTTCCCGTGGCCCTGCCAATATGCGGCGAAGGAGGAACACTATGGGGTTTTAGTCGGTGTGAGTCCGACATAACCCGTCCTTGCCCCCGCGAGGCGGATATGTGTAGACATTCCCCCATGTAAAAAAAGGTAACGAAATCAGCCTCGCGGTAGCTCAGGGTCTAAGCGCTTTATGTCAATTTTACAGTACACGAGCTACTCAGCTTCGATCCGACACTAATGAAATTGTTATTTTTTTTTTTAATTTTATATGCTGATTTATAACCAACTGTGGGACGTATACAGTTTGTAACTTTAATTACTTTATTACACGTGTACGGTGAATCCTCTCAACTACGGGCGAAGCCCAATTGTGGATTTTTATGAGGTTTTGTAAATGAAAAAAGGAAACTACATAAAAATAAAACGCATATCGATACTTAAAATATAGTACATATTTATTCTTAAAATGTTTGTACTCTCAATTATTTTTATTTGTAATGCAACTTTATAGATACATACTCATTTTTTGCACAAAACATAGTTATGTATATAGATAATGTATATTTTTATTTTAAATTTATGAATCAATGTTACATACGAGTACATATACTTAATCAGCCGTTTCAAAATGTAAAGCAATCGTGACGTACGATAATGAGGCGATAAAAGAATTTTAAAGATAAAGAATTTTATGACTGTCCGAAGACAAGGTTTTACATTTTCTTGGGACATTAACAAAGATAAAATATATTTAATCACTGCTAATTAACAAGTAAACTTTGCAAGAAATAATACTTGTTTTGTAAACTAAATATTGTAAACTGAACAAAGCATTAGGACGGATACTGGGTCCCGAAATACAGGTATTAATACATTAATCTAGATTATGCTCATTTATGAGCTTCTTTTCACACACGCATACACACACACATACACACAAACACACTACACACACACACACACACACACACACACACACACACACACACACACACACACACACACACACATTTTCACACAAATTAATAATATTCTATACTATATTATTCGAGTAATATAGCTCTTGGCCTGCCAGTGCAAGTACACAACGCAGTATGAGACCTCGCGAGTTGCAACGTTCATCACACTCTGTCTCATTCGTGACAGTTGGTTCAGTTTGGGCTTTTGCAAGTAACCTTCGGCGTCGACCAAAATTTCGGGCTAATTTGGCCGAAGCCAAAGGTTTAATTGAAATTTGAAAGCTGAAGTTGAAAGCGAAGCTTTGGTCGGATAATAATTAAAAATTTGTTCCACATGAAAGTACAAGCATGAGACAATTACCGAGTGCGCGAATATTTACTGGCATTACCAGTCGTCACCTCTAGCACAGTGGTTAGTTGCCCTGTAAACTGTGCGCCTGGAAAGGTTTCTAACAAAGAATGTAATATTTTTTGTTTGTTTTCTATGCGTTCCTATGCCGTTCTTTTCATTATGAGTATTGCAACGCATGCTGGTCACCCGCTTGTATACTATTGAAACACTGCAGCGTTATCCTGCTATTTCATGTTATTCTGTGCGAACATGGTTCAGCAGCAGGCCTATTCGCTAACTCTGTTCACATCATTATGATTGTCACCCATCGATATATATGTACTACGTACTAGATCTCGCATTCCGAACATACACTATGTTCAACTGAACTGTACTGCAATCCGTACAGTGTGTCATTTAGTGTGATTTAAATCTACTAGTTGGTCTGTGATTTCAATATACATGCAGTGTGGAGCGGCGCTAATAACACAAGATTTCAAATTAAAGTTTAAATTAAAAACTGACCGCGCAGACTCAACGCGCTTAAATCTGCGCATGCGCGACTCTACTATCTCCCGCGAATGCGCGTAGACATAGAGTAGTGCACACTTTTTGTTTAGATACCTTCTCTAGTACGTAGTACATATAACTCAATGTAGTCACCTTTTATATAATATTTTTTATAGGACAATGGTGACAAACAAGCACACAGTCCACCGGATAGTAAGCGGATTCTGTGACCCACAGACATTTACATGAATTCTCGATTAAGAATCAATATCCAGATGAATCTTCATCCCTGAGGACTAAGATGGAATAGTTCGTTTCAAGTAAAAAGGGTCTCCGATTCTCTCTACTCACCATAATAAACACACCCACATTAAGCTGGTATTTTACGCTGGTGAAAGCGTGGTCCTACTCCGGCCGAGCCGACCCTTTCGTGCTACAACCATAATATAGCTGCAGAATAGCTTCTCCACATATAATTAGACTACACTTTTATTACAGATTATATTATCAAACAATTTATCAAATTTAATGTGATCTATTTTCTTAATAGTCCTATTACATCCAATAATACATAGAAGAAGCACATTATATAAACATAACAATTTCCTAAGTTCCCTTCAAATTTTCTTCCTCATGCTTGAGTAGAACTTTTCTCCCTATCCTCTCTGCTTCTCTTACGGTGTCAGGGAGTTGGCTGCGAGCTGTTTCTGGCATAAGCAGGGTGAGAGCGCCTGATGCTAGCGATGTCACCCCGAAGATAAGAGCTGGCATCCCAGTCCAGTAGGTCATCTGTTTAAATTAGTAGGTAATGCCTGTTTAAGTTCTTTTTGAAATCGCTAACGTTTAGACGAATCAGTTATATGACAAGATAAAGATGTTAAAATTGATCATATATAACGTGCGTAAAAAAATTACGTGAAAGTTTGAACAGCCTCCCTTAACAGGTAAAACACATCATTTTAGTTTCTTACGCGGATCTTAGCCAATTTTTAACATTAAAAATAATGTATTTTCGTAAAGTAACGCCTGATTCTATTATTTATGTTATGTTGAATTAAAATAAAAACAGAGCTAACTCCAAGTAACTAAAAATAATAAAATAATGTCTTTCAGTTTCTGAAGTCGTTGCTAAATATAGTGTATAAAAGAATTAAAGCCCTGACAAAAGTCATTGAAATTAGTCTACAGTCAAACTGAGAGGCTCCTCCTTTTTTAAGTCTTTGAGATGACGTTGTAAGATTCTTTCTGAGATTTCGAGATTTAATTTAGAATAAAAACTAAATATATATATATATATATATATATATATATATATATATAAATAGAGCCAGGGGTTCTCAAACTTTTTCTGTTCACAACGTACTCAGGGGTACTTTATCACGACGCCGTTGTCAAAATATGTGTGAAATGACTCTTATAAGACGTGGAAATTGAAGCTTTTGAAAAGAATTAAATGGTATAAATAAAAATAAAATAAAATTCAAAGGTGAATAGGTTAGTCATTGGTGTATGTTTGCCGATCTCCACAAGGTTTTTGAAAATGATACTTAATTATAAAATCTTGATACTGCTACTATCATTTCTTGCTCTAAATTGAATATTGAATAATAAATATATTTAAAAGTTACAGCTGAAAATCTAGCTTCGCGTAAATAGGATATTGCAAAGGTACTGAGAATTCTTAAAGCTTTCGAACTTAAGAGTTGGATATTTATTTTATTTAACTCCACCAAATCGGAACAAGCAAGTTTTAAGACTATTGTCACCAAATAGTTTCAGGTGCGGCACCTCCTAATTACTCCTAACTACTGCCTAAGGCGCCGCAACGCACACTTTGGGAGCCCCGGATCTAGCCTATATTTCTTAAGCAACTTACTAAGAGGGGTATCTGCGGCGCGAGCAGCGAGCCCACGCGGCCCATCGCTGAACAAATGGAATGCATGGAGTTGCGTGTGTATGTGGGGAACAGCTCCGACGTGTACATGTACACGATGTTATAAGAGAACGTAGCCAGCATTTCGAATGCCATGAACAGCGCCAGCCCCGCCCATGCGTATCCTGAAAGAAAATGGATAGTTAAATGACGATGAAAATGATCTTGAATTATTCCGAAATCAACGTGTTAGCGGTGGGAGAGCCGATCGTGAAGTTACAGTAAAATGATACTGTGTTTCGTACGGTGAGTGAAGAAATTAGAAATTAGAGACAATTTGAGTGTATATTCCTTTTTGTATGAATTTAAATAGATATCTTTTTCTATCCATTTTTGATTATTATTTATTTATCAAATAGGTTATACCTCGGAGGTGGTCACATATAAATTAGAAGAACAATTCAATTACTCGCAAAAAGGTTAAAAAATTAGTCCTTTAATAAAAAAATTAAGAAGATTTAAATAATGATTTCTTATATTTACGCGAATACTACACATTGAATAAAACTACTTTTACGGATTCTATCTCGTTTAATTATACTTACTTTTAAATTCCCGATGTTTCGGGTGCTTTCCGGGGGACTAAGGTGATTGACGTCCCGATGTCAGTTAACCCGAAGCACCTTCAGCTTTTTTTTGAAAGTTTGACCCGTGACCATGGGTGCTAGAAAGCACTCGAAACGTAGGAAATTTAAAAATAAGTATAATTAAACGCGATAGAATCCGTGTAAATAGTTTTACGCAAGACTTAAATAATTAAAAACAATAAAATAATTTCCACACAAAAGCCTTAGAAGTCGGAGTCTACTTAATACTTCATAGCTTAATACGTATACACACTCTATACACTATGTCTTAGTATCGAATTCTGAAGCTATAATGTAGAAATTATTATTTTTGGAACGAAGTTCCTTATCGCACAGTACGAATTTGGCTGATGGGGGCTAGACGAGAAAAATTGTAAGATTTTTCCGTCGCGACCCCCTTTCTATGCGCGCGAGCGAGATGGAATAATATCCATCTCCCTCGCACTTTTTCTTATCTTGCCATAAAAGAACTATTATTTTGAATGACGCTTCATTTTAATAGACGCTGGTAATTCATTTATTTGTATTTGTTAATCAATAATATAATACGTTTATCAATAATAATATACTACGTAAGGAACTTCGTTCCAACCGAGTGTTCCACGACACTCTCTCATGTGTTTGGTTTTTTTTCTTTGTAGTCGGCTTTTAATTTTACTAAAAGTCTATTCTTTGGTAACAAAACATTCCATTACTACTGTTACGTTTTTGTTGAATAATATAAAATCCATAAAAATATCTAGTTATATTTAATTTGTGTTATTCAAATAAACATAACAAAACATCTGCAGGGAAAATATAAGAAGACAAGAAACTATTAATAATTAATAGAAAATAATAAGCAAGTTATACAAGGATCAGTTATCATCTTATTTTCTGGGTTAACTAATAACGTACTCGTACCAATACTTACTGTTGGTTGGTTAATAACGTTACATTTAATTTTGTTAAATTATATTTTCATATAAAGCATATAATTAAAAATTAAAAATTTTGTATAGTCGACTTCAATATAAGTTATTAAGAATAACTCAAAAACTATTGGTCTGACCTTGATCAAATTCATATGGGACTACACGAGACGTATCAGCTTTCATATAAAAAAGAATCATCGAAATCGGTTCACCCAGTAAAAAGTTGTGACGTAACACACATAAAAAAATACCAAAAAAAATACAGTCGAATTGAGTACCGTCTCCTTTTTGGAAGTCGGCAGATAAAATACAGTGTCGGAGATCGCGGTTCAAAATGCGAAAATCAGGGTATTAATTCGGTTTGGTCACAAAATTTAAAGCGAGTGCTTAGAACCTCTTAAATCATGCAGTGACGGTGTTAGAATATCCACTACCTCATATCGTCCCGTGGGTGTCGTAAGAGGCGAGAAAGAGAGACAAAACAGAAGATGAATCTACCACGCCGTCTTCCTAATAATAACAACTAAATAAAAAATCGCGGTTGCCATCTTACTTGTCAAGTGAGTTAATCTATGCGGAGGCCTATGTTCAGCAGTGAACTTTAATAGGCTGCAATGATAACGGTAACGATTAGGCAAAAGCGTTTTAGAAAGTCCATATTTATTAGTCCACTGCTGAACATGGTCCTGTCCATCGCAGAGAGGATTTACCTTAATTGGCAGGTGTAAATCTCACGTTTGACAGGATTAGTACTGTTATAAAAAAAATACTAATTACAGTTTTTACTTGCCCTTCGGTATTAGTGGCTGAGATACACAGAACAATCCGCCCACCATAAACGACGCAAGCAACGGCAGCTTCCGTCTGTACTTGGCGAGTGCTAGCCAGTAGAAAATGTTCGCCGGTATGTCCATCAACATTAGCAACGCAAAGTTCAAGTATTTGTTCCCGTCGATCAACACCGAGCTGATCATCATCCCGTAGTTGATGAGAGTTATCGTAAACCACCAGACCAGGCACACGACGAACCTCTGCATCATTATCTTCGACCTGAAAGTCTTCAGCAGCAGCTTCCTGTCGTTTAGTTTCGGTGAAGTTTCCTCGTCTATGTAGTCCAGTTTATTGAGCATCGCTTTATCTACTAGCACTTTATTTCTTTCAGCTATTTTTTCTATTAATTTGATTGCTTTCTCTTTCTTCCCTTTGCTAAACAACCATCGTATGCTCTCGTCTAAGAAGAACGAGTAAGTAAGAATGACGAGCGTTGGAGCGTAGATGACTCTGAGAAAATGGCGCCAGTAAGGGACGGCCCACGCTATGAAAGGCATTATTATTTGACCAACGGTGTAACAGTTTAAGAGTATCATTTGAAAGAAGACCGCTCTCTTCTTTTCTACTATTTCTATACCTGAAAAAAAAACAATAATGTAATATTGATTTGTAATGGAACCTATATACATATGAAAACTTCAGTTACCAGCTCGCTGCCAAGGGTGGCAAATATCCTCCATAAGGACAATATATAGGGAGTCTGTTCAGCAGTGGAATTAGGTAGGATGTCATGAATAAATAAATGAATGAATTGCTTAAGGATAATAATGAACTGATCTTACTTAGCATAAACATAGGAGACAAAGCATCTCCGATAGCAGCTTCTAGGCATTCTAGAACGACATAAACCCAAAAGGATGTGGCAAAGCTCTTTGTTATTCCCAAGACAGCACCCATTGTACCCGCGAAAACTGCCGCGGTCTTACGGCCGAATCTGCAAAATTTATATATATATTTTTTATATAGAATAAGGGGGACAAACGAATACAAAGTCCAATAGACTGTGTGTGCTGTGTATGACAAGTGAATGCTGTGGCCCATGCCTATGTTATTGCCTTATGCCTTCATTTCATTTGACAAGTCTTCTACATTTTGATTTTTCTACAAAGAATCAAAATGCAGAAGACTTGTCATTCCTAAAGACTAAGATGGTATGCCTCTTTTCCAGTAAAGGGGTCTCCGGTTCTCTACATTCAACAAACGAAACACTTCTGTGAGAGCGTGGTCTTACCTCGGTCGAGCCGGCCCATTCGTGCTACAATCATAATATACTGCTGCTCTGCAACGTACAAGACATTTTTAATATAACCATCAGTGTTTTTAAGTGGTAGAGCCACGTTGGTGCGATTGTGACTGCAACACGAAAAAGGATGCATCGGAAAGATCACGCTCTCAACGAATATCTCTTTTCGACATAGTATAAAACAAAGTCGTTTCCTGCCGTCTGTACGGTTAGATCTTTTAAACTACGCAATAAATTGCAATTCGGTTGTCTTCAATTGACAGAACGATTCAATAGATTTATATACCGTTCAATAGATTTATGTCCGTGTGTATGTGACTGTGCTGCTCCTAAACGGCTGGACCGATTTTAATGAAATTTTGTGTAATTAAGTTGATTATAAAATTGTTTAAATTAATAACCCGAATGTAATAAAAATGAACGACCCGGTAGGTAGCGTTGTTGCCGAGATCCAGAAGTCAACTGTGCGAAAGCAGGGCGGATTATTAGTGAGGTATACATACATTAAATTGATGGTGTATATTTTTTTACATATTACATTTAGTAATCCGCTGTATTTAGTTTTGGCTTATGTACTACCTCTTTATCAATATACTTATCTATTTTATTTATTTATTTAATAACTCCATTACAGGTGATATTATAACTATATAAACATTACACAGCGCAAAAATACACCTACGTTCTCAGGCATAGCAATGTGGAAACGAAAGAGGCATACCTGAAACACATATGCCTAAAGTATTTTATCTTTTAAGTATTCATTGACGGTATGATAACCTTTATTAAAAAGTACATAATTCTTTTAATTATAAATTAATTTACTAAACGTATTTTCTTTTTCAAAGGAGACTCGACAATACTAAATAAAATTTTTAATTAACCAGTAGATTGTTTTTTATTAAATTAATTAAATATTAATTTGAATAGAGGTCAGTTTTTATTTGGTAAGACATATTATGCTTTTTTATCTAAATGTAAAGCCGCCATTAGAGAATGCATAGTGTCATGGGAGTCATTGCACGATGTTTTATTCTAAACACTTGACCGATATTGATAAAAAAATTGTGGGGTACTTATGGGTTTACCTGGATGTTTATTAACTATGATTGGACGCAGTAGTCGGCGGTGTTGTTGAGTTCCAGAAATCACCCGTGCGAAGCACGATCGGATCGCAAGTACTATGTAAATATTTTCTAATACCTACACTAATTATTGTTTTTCTATGTTTCACTTAACTATTATACGTCTAGAGCTAAAGAAATATATTTGTACACCACACTGTGTACAAATATATTTCTTTAGCTCTGTGTACATACATGATACGTATTATAAAATTTTACTATCATCTAAGTCAAAAAAGAAATAAATAAATGTGTATTTGAATTAAACTCTAAAGTTTAATAACATGATATACAATATTTTATTATATACAATACAATTAAAAACTATAATAAAAAAAGAAAACTAAAACTAGTAACTTAATTATCATACAATCCTACTCCCTGCGGTATCGTGCCAAGAATGCTGCGGCTATACTTAGCCTTTAAGCGAGAAAAGAACCATCCCTCTTATCACCAGCAGCAACGACCAGCCGCGGATGGAGTTCCTTTAGGAACCTCACTGCACGTGGACTCTACGGACCGATAGTCTCTACAGCAAATGGCACAAATATGTAGTCATCTCTCAGAGACTAATATTTGCGCCAATGTAAATAGAAATTCAGTTGTATAATGCTGCTGTGTTTTGTGTGGATAATGACAAGATACAGAAACCTATCTACTGGAAACGAGGCGTTCATCTTAGTCTTAGGGATATCAACGCCACGCAAAGTGTCTATGGACCAAAGCATCCACTTACCATCAGTTGGACTGTGTGTTCGTTTGTCATCCTCACTTGTAAAAAAGGTATTTCTACAAATATTCATTCATTGATGTTTTTAAATCCCATAGAAAAAGAGCGGTCTTATATGTTTATCGTGTGTATCTGTATGTCTGTCTGTGGCATCATAGTTCCTGAAGGAAAGAACCGATTTTGATTATTTTTTTTCTTTTGAATGGTATCTTAGTCCAGTGTTCTGTTCAACCGTTAGAAGATCGTCAACTCTTTACGCTTCGGGGTTTTTTTTTTAATTTTTAACGTAAGTTATACGTCGTTCATAAATAAAGGACTATTTACAAATATTCACCTGTCGGAGATCTGGCCTTGTATAAGTAGACCCACCATGTTTCCGAACATGTGCACAGTACCCACTAGAGGTGGTTTCCAGTCCTCGCATGCCAGTTCGAACTGAAAATAATAATAAATTAAGAAAGTTACAAACCATACACTCCCCACTGTTGGCTAGTTTAATTTCTGGGAGGGTTATGGAGAAATTAATCTTCCGAACTGTTTCAATGCTTGTAAGGACTCCACATGTCCTCAAAATATTTATAATTTCTTAAACATAATAATAATAATGTCCTCCAGAACGGACGATCTCAACGGAGACTAGCCATCGGCGCAGGACAGGATTATAGTGCCCAATTGTGTGCTCAAGCACAGGTGTACACTCAAATCCCTCACTCTCATAACCCGATGGGACGTCAAACCTACACGACAGGAGAAAGATCAGGCGAAGCACCAACAACATTACGTACTGTCCTAGGCAAGGCGGTGGAGCATAGCCAACTTACTGTTTCCAGTATGCTACTGTGATTTTTTGACTGAACAAAATCATAGCAAATTTTTGCGCCCGATTCGAACTCGGGGCATCATGATCAGCAGTCGCGTTTACAACCAGACCGAGGCGGTCAAAATATTATTTATTACTCAAAAACCGGTTAACTCACGATGTTTTCCTTCACCGCCGAGCACGTAGAAAATCATCACTTAAAATTCCTTCTTTCCTTCCTTCACAGCTTATAAAAGTCTACTGCTGACTACTGTGAATATTGCCATAGTTGCCACTACTGACCGACGGGTTGGCAACCGCATTTTTTTAATTATTTTAAGTTGTTGTCAGGAAGATGCTGCTGCCCATCACCTGCTTCAATATCCCTCTGATAACCACGGGACGGTGTGGGGTATTAGATATTCTGACACCTCCACTCCACTTCACACGTGGTAGAGCCATGCTGAAGTTTAGTAGTATGGTTGCAGCACAAATGAGTCGGCCCGACCGGGGAAGGACCACGCTCTCACAGAATACCAGCGTAAAATAGCAGCATAACACTGCTGTGTTTCGCATGGTGAGTGTAGAGAACCGGTCCTTTTTTACTGGATAAGAGGCATTCCGTCTTAGTCCTCACGGGTGACAACGCATTTGCATTTTGATTCGCAAACAAGGATAAATGTAGATGTCTATGGGACACAGCAACCACTTACCATCAGGTAGACTGTGTGATCGTATGTCACCCAATCCTATAAAAAAAAAAACTTAAAATTTCAATCAACAATAATATCATTGGCGCCGGCGGTGATTGAACCCAGATCTTCGCGAACTGTGGAATTTACGGCGAACGCTTAACCCCTGAGCTCCGACGGCGAAAATAATAATAATACCAGTCTTTTCTTGTTTCGCTGCGGGTTATAAAATGTTATCTCGCGATTTAGTTCGCATCAGTGTCAATTTTGTGTCATAAACCTCAATAGGTTTTTAAGCAAAATCCGATCGGACATAAGGTCAAACTGTACCTTACATCGTAATGTAATCAATTGTGTACGTTATAAAAGATCTCATAATAAAGGCTTAGTAGATTATCTCGCTTTAAATTTCATAGTTTTTTCTTTATAGGATAAGGGTGACAAGCGAGCACACAGTCCACCTGATGGTAAGTTGTTGCTGTGGCCTAGATATCTACATCTATCCTGGTTTGCTAATAAAACGCAGATGCGTTGTCAGCCATGAGGACTAAGATGTAATGCCTCTTTTCCAGTAAAAAAGGTCTCCGGTTCTCTACACTCACCAAACGAAACACAGCAGCATTTAGCTGCTATTTTACTCTGGTATTCTGTGAGAGCGTGGTCCTTCCCCGGTGGAGCCAACACATTCGTGCTACAAAGCTATACTATTAACATAGCTGTAGTATGGCTCTAACACGAATGAAAATACGAGAAGTGAGTTCGATCAATGAAATTATTGATTGCAAATTTAAGTGATATATATATAACTTTATCAGCTCGTTCGACTTTTAGTGGAATATACCATATGAAAATAAGAGGCAAATGTTAAGACGTCAATACTCGTATGGATTATATATAGATGTACCTATGTGCATGTGTATATTTCATGTCTGGATACATTTACGGTTATGTGCAGACATATGTATTTATTTAATCTTTGTATGCGTTCTATAATAACAAAGTGCATCTTATCATTTTTTATATACAATATATCTTCATAACTGGACTACTGGAAGAAGTTTTATCATGAAGTAGCTTCCTTGTGCAAACTCTTAATCATGATGAGTCCCCTCCATGTGTTTACATAAATTGTTAAATTAATAAATAAATAAATAGGTGCATTCAACTCTACGTTGTCGGCTCCTGCATCAGATTAGGTGATTAATTGATGATTAATTTTAATTTAATATTAATTTTATTTTATTAGTTTTGTTTAAGCACAGTTTCGGGGAAAGGTCACGCTCTCACAAACTAATCAACAGCGTAAGAAAAGTAGTTTTGTGCTGCTGTGTTTCGTATCGCTAGTGTAGAGAATCGGAGACCCTTTTTACTGGAAACGAGGCATTCTATCTTAGTCCTCAGGAGCGACAACGCAACGCATTTTTATTCTTAATCGAGGATAGATGTAGGTGTCTCTGGGCCACAGGATTTGCTTACTATCAGGTGAGCTGTGTGCTCGCTTGTCATATGCTATAAATATAAGTTTAGGATACGACGGGACTTTTATCGTTATTCTGTGTATAAAATTCCCTAAATAAAACTAGAAAAAGGGATTTACCACGAGCTCGTTTATGAAACAAACCAAATTATATCAATTTACTAAAACTCTCAATTATTTTTATAAAATCAACATTATTTATCAACTTAGAGTTGCTTAGAGAACTTTCATTATATCAGATTAATTAACTTCGAACAGATTATCAGTATTTAGAAATCTTCTTAACCGAGATCTTCTCGTGGGACTGTTAAAGGGTACAGCTACACTTTAAAGTCTCTCTGAGAGATGATATCCGCAGGCGATCTAGGCACTAAAACAAATGCGCCCAAGACTCCGTCTGGACCTAAATACGTATGCATGTAAATGGTCTGTAAGTGTTAAGGAGAGATTTATCAAACAGATACCATCTGCCGCTTCCCGTTTCTCGGAAACCGCTGCGAGCTGCCCATTTGTCTATCCTTAAGAGTTATAAACGACGGGATAGTCTTATCTTTACAGGAGACGTAAAAAAATATATTCGTAATGATATTTCAATAAATAAGATGACAGGTATTGATACCGTTCCAAGGGACCTTTAATCTTAGCCTAATTTATTAAGGCGAGAAGTATTTTGTCCCACATTAACTAATTTATCGATATAGACATCTTAGTACACCATCAACAAATTAATTACAGGCCGGTTTAATTACCTACATTGATTTTTATCTGGTGTTTTCTTTTATTATGCTATTGACCTTTTCTGTGAAGATCTATATAGGAAATATTAATGAAATAAAAATATTTTTCGTTATTTCATTACGGATTTAATAAAATTACTAACTGAACAAACTAACGCGGTGCAGTGTCCCCAACTTGTCAAGACCCATTTTTGGTCACGGACATCGACAATAAATGGCCTTGTCTGTGAAAGTCTGTACAGGGCATTTTGACAAAATTAAGAAAACTTAAATTTGATTTATCGGTATTAATATATGATTTAATAAAATAACTTACTAAACTAACTAACGTGGCACAGTAACCCAAAGTGGCAATGCCATTTGGGTCATCCTCGACATAAAAGACGCCACTTAGTTCTGTCCTGAACCAACTTCTGCCAGCCTCGAATCTGCAGTTAACTCAAGTCCTTTCCTACTTCATCTTTCCATCGGTACCTGGGATATCCGACTCACCATCGGCCATCTGGTACTCCTAAGTAGGCTCGCTTCACTGTCCGATCCCATCCCATTATAATTACAAGGCTATCAAAATATAAGGATTTGATATTGATAGGTATTTAAAAAAAACAAAAGTGGCAGACGAACAATCAGTTTACTCGATGTTAATTGGCTACTGCAATCCATGCACAGTTGCAGCTAACTTCAAAAACACACTCAGAGAACTTGTGTGACAGATAGACAGCTATTTAACAGTTTGAAGAATATCATATACTAGCTATTACAAGCTTCTCTGTGTCTCTAGCAGATTTTCCGTCACGGCCGGCGGCCAGTATTGACCGATACGAGCTCATCGACCGATACGAGGTAGCAGTCAGAGGCAGGGGTTCGCACTCCCCCCTTCCCCCTCGGACTGTGGTTAGATAGCTCAAAATAAACCTTTACGGAGGGGACATGATCATTGGTAACAAAACCAATTCATATACCATCATCATCCTCATCCTCATTTTTTAAATAGCTGCTTGTATTTTTGAATAATTGCTTTTTTAAGAAGCTGTAAGAGCCGCATAGGCTAACAGCGTAAACATCACAGAAAATAGACGCCGGCCAGTCTGAATGGAGAATAGTTATCTGCGCAGGACATAGTTAAGGATTATAGTACGAGATTATACTTCTTCTTCTTAATAACTGGCTTTACGGCTCTGGTATCTAGCCGTTGTGAGCCTGAAGTTACAATATATTATAATAATTATCCTTCATAGTATATTGCTTCACAATATGTTGATGCGTCACATTGTGCAGCCCTTGGGAGATTTTGACGGCAACTCCAGCCAGCAGACAGCTGACGGTTGGCGATGGTATCTCAAGGCGCCTAAGCAGACACACCTTATTTTGAGAATCACATCACCATCAGAGCACTTGTTTCACAGTTTTCACTAATAGTCCACATGCGCAGACACTAAATACACAAAATCGCACCACTTTTACATATCAAAGTCCACTTCAAACCATTATTTAAACAATAATACAGGAGCAGCAATCCACCACCGGTCAAGTTCCCGCCAAAACTCTACGAGATTATAGTTCAAAAGTGTGTGTGCAAGCACAGGTGCACCCTTTACACCCTCGCTCTCATAGTCCGATGGGACGACAATCCGACACGACCGGACAAGATCAAGCGCAGAACTAACGGCTAATTTACTTCCTTACGGGGGGAAACTGAACTTACTGAAATACCGCCAAATTCTTGACTCTCGGCTGCTACTGTAAATTATTGATAAAAACCCAATCACTGATTTATACCCGACACGGGATTTGAACCCGTGCCCACATGATCAATGGTCGCGATTACGACCACGAGACTAACGAGCCAGACTAAATTGGCCTATATTGTATGTATTAATCCACCACGCAACCCCAAATTCATAGCGTACTTTGTATATTTCCATGGTAAGTTTTCTCTGTACCAACATTAATTAAAATTCCTTGAACCGTTTTTATTTTGTTCATTCAAATAGACAAAATTTCACAATTATTGTAATATTAATATAATGATAAAGATAACAGTAATAGAGTATAAATATAAAAGTAATCAAAATATGGTTATAACATTTAGTACAAGGTAAAAATGGCCGTGTCGAACATTGTATTTTAATAGTTGTTGGTAGGGTTGTCACTTTACAAAATTGGAATAATATACGTGTAGTGTATAAAATGTAATAGTGACCGTGTAGTGGAGGTATAAGAATATCCACTACTTCATATTGTCCAGTGGATGTTGTAACACCTAAAAATAAAAAAAACAGCTTGCCAGGCGTTGTAACTGTGGATAACATCTCTGTATAAGAAATTCTACTGGTTAGGCCTGTGTTTAGCATTAGAATTTAGAATAAACGAAATTCAGCAACAGATAAATGGTGAGACATGAAAATGCAAATTCCAAACGCTTATCCCACAGAATAATGAGAATCGGTTTTGCGTTTATAAACTAGTTTTGCGTTTATCAACCTATGACATATTTTACATCAACTTAGTATCATCTTATATTGTATTCATTGCAAAAAGTTATTAGTAAATATGCTGAATATCAATCGTCTAAGTGATATACTTTCAAGGAATAACGTCTGTGAAAAAAAGACATACTAAAAGCGAGTGATAACCCTAGCTCAGATTACAACACGGCTATATATCGGACCGCCAGCCCGAGGCATGATGAAACGAGATATACTCATGCAAATAACATTGTTACTTCTGACAATAAAAAATTGCGTTTAACTTTTATGGAGCATCTTTTTGTATGGTACGTGTTACGTAACTAAAGATACGATGAAGTTCTTCAAAATTCAAAATTTTGCTATTCTTCCGGCCGATTTTGATCTTTTATACACAGGATTTTGTGGTTTCTGTGGCCCATCTATATCAACATCTGTCCTGGATTAATAAGAGTTAAAATGCAGATTGTTGTCACTCCTGAGAACATAGATGAAATGTCTCGTTTTCAGTAAAAAGGGTCTCGGGTAATCTACACTCACCATAACTATATGTGCTGCATAGATATTTACTTTTAACGATATTCCAAAATCAGGTTATGAGAGCCATGCTGCAACTATATGACAGTTGTAGCACAAATAGGTCGACTTGACCGGGGAAGAAAGAGGCTCTCATAAAATACCAGCGTAAAATAGCAGCTTAATGCTGCTGTGATTTGTATGGTGAGTGTAGAGAACCGGATATTCTTTTTAATGTCGTAATGCTAAGAAATGACAAGGCATCTGCATTTTGATTCTTAATCAATGTTAGATGTAGAAGATGTCTTTGGAACTCAACATTGACTTACCATCAGGTAGACTGTGTGCTCGTATGTCAACCTTATTCTATATTAATAAAGCGTATTATAATGCTACAAATGTTAGCCCAACTTCTTTTTATTATTTTTTTATTCTTATCAGCTCATAACAATTTACTTATGAACATAGCCTTCTCAAATTTTTTATAGGATAGGTTGACAAAGGAGCACGCAGTTCACCTGATGGTAAGTGATTTTTGTGACCCATAGATGTCCACATCTATCCTCATTAATGAATCAAAATGTAGATACGCTGTCAGCCGAGAGGATTAAGACGGAATGTGTCTTTTCCAGTAAAAAGGGTCTCCGGTTCTCTGCACTCACCATACGACACACAGCAGTGTGGAGCTGGTATTTTACGCTGGTATTCTGTAAGAGCGTGGTCCGTCTTCGGTCGAGCCGACCCATTCGTGCTACAACTATACTATTAATGTAGCTGCGACATGGCTCTACCACGTATAAAGTGATAGGATGATTTATAATATAACCGGCTTGCTTAGTAAGATGGATCGGTGATCGCGGTACTAGAAATCTCATATCATTGGTGTTGCTCCCAACCGTTTGTCTGGGTATTTCTCGCGTGACATACGGGGATATCGTGCAGTGGTTATGTAAGAATATCCACTACCTCATATCGCCCCTTTTCTGTTTCTTATTCTTACACCGCCACACACGGTTAAAACTGCAAAACATTAAGGCGTTTCCCTGACCAAATAACCTTGAATATGCAATGCACTGCCGCCCGCACTCTGCGTACGCCCATTTATTATTAATTCACACAATTTTTGGAATTAATTATAATTAAAAAAAGAAAAGCGAACTTTAAAAATTAAATAAAACGTGAGTAATATAGATTAGTAGATGTCTATGGGCCACCGCAACCACTTACCATAAGGTGAACTGTGTGCTCGTTCGTCACCCTTATTCTATAAAAATAAATAATCTAATCTATAGTGAAGCAACAAACCTCAGCTACGAAACTGTTAGGCACATCGTACACCCACTCCCTGCAGGCGATATCGAAGGTGCTGTTGAAATGTGTGCATTGCGAATTTAGTGGCAGGTGTCGGCGACATTGTTTGATGCCGTTCTCGTCGGTCGACTGGTTTAACCAGGGCACCGGGAACGGTGGGTGCGACGGCTCACATTCCGGGATCACGCACCTATAGTGGAAGACTTATTTATTGCATTTGCCTTTAAATATGTTTAGCCGATTGCAAATAGGGATGACTGAGGCTTACAATTTTTTTTTGTATGTTAGGCAAGCGATATATTCGTCAATTGTGAACTTTTTTTTATCAAATAGGTATATTTCAAGACCGGTCTATTAGAAATTTGGAATAATATCAAATGTTAACTTATAATAATTAAAAAAAAAAACAGACTAAACTGGTATTTCATTAATTAATGTAAATATGTTTCTAAATTATTCATACTTATGAAGACTTGTCAGTTTGAATTGTAGATATTTTTACCTTAAATCTTCAAGTAAATGTTATCACTTCTATCACTATCGAAAAAAAATTAAGTCAACTTACTTCAATGTTAATTGAATTTAATTTTAATGGATTGTGAATCATTCATTTTGGACCCACCTGTAGTTTACGTCCTCAACTGCGAATACATAATTAACATTGTACATGGAGTTGGTGGCGTATACCAATGCCAGCATGCACATCGTGAGGAGGTGGTGCTTCCCGAAAGCGCCCAGTTGCCCCAGCACCTCGTCCAGCTGCACTTGTGGCTCCTCCACGGACATCGTTAGATTGCTTGTTAGCTCCACCTCTACAGATCCGTTACGTTCGTTAGCTCCATGATTGTTGCAATTATCGTTTACATTGTTAATAACACAAACAATGCAAGCAGCATTGTTTTGAACAATGTGTTTTCTTACTTTTTATGCTCGGTTGATTATTATTATCACGCGATATTTATAACTGGTTTTTAATTAATTAATTCTTGACGGTTATCCAGTTTTTGGGATTTTTAATATGCTGCAAGGTCACTTTTGCCACTTCGACATACCTATGTTACGTTTTATACGACTTTTTAATAAATTAGTTTCGTTGTTTGATTTTGTTTTATCTTTTTTAATTATTTGTGTACTTGACTTTAGCTGTAAATAAATAATGTTTACTAATATTACAAACGCGCAAGTAATGAACTCATGTTACAGCAAGTACAGTTATTAGCGGTGAGTAAATATTTTTATTGGTGGTTTAACTGATAACATTTCTTTTTTACAAAAGACTTACAGTATTTGTAATGTTTTATTTTTAAATATAAATATTTTTTAAACTTAGAATTCATTGGTTTGCTACTTTCATTTGCAAGAGCAGACAAGTAACATGCTTTTTCAATATAATAATGAATAAATCATTGACTATTATAAGAAAATTTTACACTCACGAATTAACACCTCAAATTACAATGAACAGTGACACGTGCTTATAAATCTGAGACAATGCTAATTAATAAAAGCGTTATTCGACCCAAGTACCTGATGCAATTTCATTTCGAAATACAGTACTTTATATAATGAATAAATATTCAACATTCACATAAACACTGCTCCGAATAACTGTTTAGAAATTAACTTACAAATTACAACTTTTAGGCAAGGCGATGACGATAAGACTCTAGATTCTCTTCAGAATTGTCTAGGATAATTTAAGCAAATAAACACGTAGCACTATGACCAACGTCCTCACTTCTCCGTTATTATCAGGTAAATGTAATCAAGCGTGTCTAAACAAGACTCAAATGTCAACCACAAAGTCAACCCAATAGCAACAACTAATAACAAGATTTTTTTTTAAAGAAAATGTTCTACTCGTTATAATATGACGAGCGTGCTCATAGCTCGGAGTTGGAAGTTTTATGTATTTCTTGACTATGTTGTACGGTCCAGAAACAATACACTTATTAATGCTGACACGGTTCGAACCGCCGCGCCGCGCGGTGAATACTAGTGAAACTATAATGCGCCATTTTTAAGTTAAAGTCAGTGTGTGTAATAAACTATTACAGTAGCAACACGTGTGATTACTGTATATATGACCAAATAAATTTTCCGGGCCCGGATGTCCGACTTTGTGATTTATGTATGTAAAGTGTCTTACATACAAGAGAAAATCCTAGCGGTAGTCATAACATTTTTTTAAAGATGTTTTTCTTAAAAGAGGCTTCAGTTATTAAAAAAAATCCTTCGAATCCAGGACAAAATCCAAATGTGTGTGATAATTCAATTGTTAAGTTTCTTTTCAAAATAAAATAAACTAAAAAAATATATTTTTTTGTTAAAAGAATAGTTTTTGCCGTGCCGTCGGTAATAAAAAATGATTGGCAAATTTTTGAAGAATGTAATGGAAAAACCCATTAATTAACGCTCTTTAAATAAATTGAATTTTATCATCGATGATTAACTCGTATAAACAGGTCGTTTTTAGGGTTCCATAATTTAAAAGCAAAAACGGATCACTATGTTCATAGTCTGTTTGCTGTCTTTTTTTTTATAGAATAAGGGTGATAAACGAGCACGCAATCCACCTGATGGTGAGTGGATGTTATGGCCCAAAGACATCTAGATATATCCTCGATTAAGAATCAAAATGCAGATGCGTTGCCGCCCTTGAGGACTAAGATGGAATGCCTCGTTTCCAGTAAAAAGGGTCTCCGGTTATCTACACTCACCATACGAAACACAGCAGCATTATTCTTCTGTTTTACTCTGGTATTCTGTGAGAGCGTGGTCCTTCCCCGTTCAAGCCGACCCATTCGTGCTACAACTGCAATATAGCTGCAATATGACTCTACCACGTAACGACACACATAATGACTCTGCCTGTTAAGACCTTTCTTCTCAGGAACGGATAGATATAATCAAGTTGAAATTAATGTCAAATATTACGGCCTATCTCTTACATGTCTTTGTCAAATATTACGGTCTGTCCTGTTAGTTTTCCTTATAATTAAAATTCAATATGAATAAAGTAAATCTTCACCCATCATGTAACTCAACGTTGATTTTATTTTATACTTACAGTTAATTAAAGGCTGATTGTTATAACATAACATAAACACTCACGCCTGTCACCCAGAGAGGTAGGCAGAGACTATGGACTTCCATTTGGCACGATCCTGACACACCTCTCTCGCTTCCTTCACATCCATATACCTACGCATACATGCTCGTCGGTTAAAGGTACTCTTGCTTTGGCCCATTTTCAATATATCGCCAATTTGGTCGATAAACGCCTAGGGCGTCCCTTCCCGTCTCTGCCGTTCACCTCTGCAACATAAATTTGCTTTGTCACTCTTTCCTCATTCATTCTTTCTACATGACCAAACCACCTAAGCATTCCTTTCTTAATCCTGGTCACAACATTATCTTGCAAACCACACTCTTCTCTTATCAAACAATTTCTCACTCTGTCATTCAGCTTCATCCCTAACATACTCCTTAATGACCGCATTTCTACAGCATTTATTCTACTCTCATGCTTCTTCTGCCACACCCAACTTTCACTACCATACATTAAAGTAGAAACTAACACAGCATTGTGAATTGCCATACGTGCCTTTTTGGACACATTCTGACTTCTCACAATAGGGTGTAGAGCCCAATTCACTCAATTTCCTGTGTTCACTCGTCGTTCTATATCCTTATCATATCTACCATCCCTGCTAAATACACATCTCAAATACACGAACTCATCGACTTTAACGACCAACTCCCCTTCTATTCTTATTTGTTATAATTGTATAAAAAAACCTTAAATATTTTGTTATTGGAAGTGGAGCCGTGGAAGCTCAGGGGTAAGCGTTCGTTGTAAATTTCATAGTAATGAAATTGTTAATTGCAAAGTTAAATGCTGATTTACCATGTCGTTGGCGGTGAAGGAAAACATCGTGAGGAAACAAGAAAAAAAAGTTTCGTAGACAATGTGAAGTTGTTCAACACGCATTGGTGTAGCGTGGCGGATATTTTCGTGTCCTAAAACCCTCCTAGAAATGAGAGAAGGCCTGTGCCCAGCAGTGGAAAATTTGTTTTTCTTTTCATCTACTTTAGTTAATAAAAATGAGTAATATCACAATAAGTATGCTATGTTAATTACCCAAACTGCTGGATACCCGACGTCATTAACTGGTACCCGGCCGAATCCTAAAAAAAGTGCTGAATCCAAATCGGGTACCCAACACATCTTTACTCACAAACTTACTCTTCAAAACCGAGATTCATGACATTTGGCAAGAAAAAAGTTCTAAAATCTGTATTAATTACATGAAGTAAATATTTTTTTGCGATTACAAACTTACATTTGCAGTTGGAGCATCGACCGTGATATAAGTCGATTTTTGGGAGAACGTTTTTCCACTGTAATGTTGAGCTTGTTCTTCAATCTGCCTTACCTTTTTTTGGAACATTATTTATAACTTATGAATAAAAAAAAACTTGTAGAATAAATTTGTGGTGGTGATTTACCACGTGCTTTTTAGTGAAGAAAAACTTCCTAAAAATTTTAGAAGCGAAATTGTTTTAGCGTAACCACAAACCACAGAGAGTGCATGGAAATAACATTACAAAAAAATACTCACACACACAAAGAATACATTAGAGTTATTTAAGAGTGATGTGAGGTTGTTTACATCGAAAAGTAAATAAACTTGACAATAGAAATATATTATTACATCTCAACTTATCTAGTTTCAAAACGCCCTCATTCAAGCAGTAGAATCTTTTTAAACTGCTTAACTTTTAACTGCAGACCATTGATCTTATCATGGCGGAGAAACAACAATACCACTCAGTTTTTGCACGTACGTACCTAGGACTGCCATGTAAGGTGTAGAGTAACAAGTTGCAGATTGCTTACAGCCAGTTTTTAAATTATAATTAAGTACTATTTTATACGTGAATTGTATTAACGAAGGTTCTTAACAAACTTATACCGATTATGGATGTAATTGATACTAAAATTAGACTTTTAATCAATCAAAAATGATTCTATTCTATTTTGTTTTCCTCATATGAAGTCGGCATTTACGACTTCATATAAAGAAAAAGAATAGAATTGAATCATTTTTATTCAATATAAATTATAAATTACAAGTACTTCTTGAAAGTGATTTTTCCTTTTATCACTGGTTCGGCAAAAACCTCTGTTCTAAAAAAAACTGGCAAAACACCCAGCGGGACTTTAGTTAATTAAGATCAATTTACAATATGTTATTTCATATTGGTATGAAGACATTAGAAACAGCATGGTACCGATCATCTCATTCCCAGGGGTTATTATCAATCATGTACTCTTTAGTCGTATAATAACACTTACTAAACAATTTTTGCTTACTAAAATTTATAAACTTTTAGTTAGATAATGCCTGCATATTTTCTGGGACTTTGTTGTTAAAGCGTATACATTGCCCCATGAAGGAATTACTGACTATTTGGAGTCTAGTAACTGGTAAAACTAACTTATGACCGTTCCTAGTAATTTTCTTTTTCTTTTCTTTTTTTTTTTAAAACGTTACCCCACACTAGCATTTTCTCCTGTGTCGTGGAGGCAGTTTACAAACATAAATTGCACAAGAACAAACATCCAGACCCGGAACAATTATTTGTAGGCCATACAAATACTTGTTCCGTGCGGGATTCGAACCCGCGGCACCCAGCGCAACAACTGATTACTAAGCCACTGCGCCACGGAGCCGTCAAATTACGGAATGAATCACTATTTACAATAAAGCTATTTTTAT